CTCAGCAGGGATCCGATCCCACGACCTGTTGCGTGGTAAACGCGATGGAAAAAAGCTCCATAACTCCGTTCAAAGTATCGTCTGCAAATTTCGAAGGCAGATTCGAGATCAGCGTCTGAAACCACGTCTAGTGAGCTACATCTCATTGCAAACGGCCACTTCGAACTAACGACCTTCCCTAGTAAGAGATACATGCTACCGTACTCCCAAATTCTTTTCTTTGCATGAGCAGCAACTATCCGTGACACTTTATCGCAGTAACTGTCTTTAGCGAGGGGAAGCTGGGAGAGATGTGACCTCTCCCAAAGGCTGGTAAGGTAGTCAACTGTACACGGTATGGATATTCTGTCAGTAGACGACTAAATACGGTTAACGGTATGACGCGCGTTTCAGAGAGCACCTGCATTAGAGGTTTTGATTCATGAATTTGATTCGTCATAGTGCGGCATGTGGAAGGTTTTTTCACTTCTCGTTGACTTTCACTCCCGAAGGTTTCGATTTGGATGAGAAAAAAAAGCTGCTTTCGCCGCTGTCAATCCTTATCTGGGAGACTGCACGCGTTCTTCTTTCATTCAGATTGGTAATAAGTTATTGAATGCAATGTGAGCTATACTTGCGGGACTTGCGAAGGCTGATCGATTCGAAAGTCAGTGCTTCTGTCCTTCCAGGAACCTGGTGGAGTAGGGTGTCGTTAGAGGGGGGAAAAGGTGCCTTACTAAAAGAGAGCGAAGGAGGCGCATCGGTGTTCGCGCTAGGAATAGGTGATTTTAGGTGAACTTGCTGTATCGTGCTTATGAACTAATTAGGAAGTGCTCCGCTAGTTAACGTACTTCGCCGCAACGTGGAGTTAACGAGCTTACCCTGGTGGAATCTATTTCTAAAAAAGTTACTTTTAATCTTGTCCCCTGCGGATGGAGGGGCGTGTCAGGCGGAATCGGTTTTGGCGCACTGCCAAACCCATTCCGCTCGACATGCCTCTTCATCCGCAGCAACAAGACTGCATTTCTGGTCAAAAGTAGTCAGTTGGATTAGCTATAAGTTAGGCCTTCAAGGACTAATTATGTCCTGATGCACATTTTGGTTACTTTGAGAGCGTGAAAGGAAGTGTTTGAGTAATGAACTTTGAAAAGAATCCCGTTCGTTTGAATTCTAATTGATTGTACTTCCAAATGATTCTACTTCTCTCGTGAATTAGTACCGTTCCGTCGCAGAGTCCGCCACTCACTAGATTCTGTACAGTTTATCAGATTCTATGCACTTCGTTTCGCTCAGTGTACGTGTTTGTGGCTTTCACTGATTGTCCAGAAAATTAGGTGGTCATCTGCACTGTTAAAAACTAGCAGTCAAAGATTTTATACAAATTTGACATTGAATCGTACATATATTCTCATGATTTTGCAAATCGAAATCGCATGTAGTAATTGGACGCTTCGGGTTGAGTGCTTCGCGGTGGACAGGGACAGTATGCTGCATCGGCGCCAGGTAAGCCTGCATCTCCTTTACGGCCAGGCTTGCCGGGGATGCCTTCAGTTCCATTTTTACCCGCTGCACCCGGCATGCCTTGCGGGCCAGGTTTCCCTCGTGCACCATCTTTACCTTTCATTCCTGGATGGCCGGTAGTACCTCTGGATCCAGCATGTCCAGGTGGTCCTTGTTTCCCTCGGCCACCCTTCTTGTTTTTCCCTGCAGTACCCGGTTTTCCAGGAACACCTGCAGTTCCTGGTTTTCCTGCATCCCCTTGTGGTCCTGCAGGCCCAGGTTCTCCAGTTGCGCCAGCATTTCCTTGTTTTCCAGCTTGCCCATTGGGACCAGGTGATCCCACGGGCCCATCGCTTCCTGGTTGTCCTGGAGCACCAGCTGGACATTGTATGCAGCCGAATGCCACATCTTTGTTGATAATTCCAATTCCTGGTCGTCCAGGATGTCCCCTTTCGCCTGGTGCACCAGGTTCACCAGCTTGTCCAGGTGATCCTTGTGGTCCTCGTGGTCCTGTTGGGCACACCGTCTTTGTTACTTCACAAGCACAAACAGCCTTTGATCTCTTCACTCTGCCGAATATTGTGGAGAAGTCGTTCCGTAATTTTGTGCTGGGTTGTATTGCAATCACCATCTCCTTCCATGCCCCGTTGGCGATAATCTGAAATGATTAGTTAAGATATATGCAGAAGACGAGATTCTGTAAGTGGTAAATGTGGCGTAGTGCTAGAAGCTACAGTGACGCACTATGAAGTAGCAAGTCAAGCCAGACAAGCCCTATTATGATGACTTGTCGGGGATTCTTTTCACGCTCCTCTTATTCCGATTTTTAAAGTAGGCACGATAAACTGAGGGCAATAAACTGACAGGGTGTTTCGACGACTGAGCTAAGATTCACAAGTCGGGTAGGAACGACAAGAATTGAACGTGGGGGGCGGCCAAGGTTTTCGTTCTAACTTTTGTTTTGGCACGATTGTAATCACGTCTTTGTCCATCACGGAACAAGATGACAGCTGTCTCGAAGTGAAAGATCCCATATGCCCTCCTCAAACACTCGCCTATTCCGTCTCAAGATAACGAGCGGAATACTCGGAATACCCTCCTCGAACAAAGTACATCTGATTATCGCTTTCCCAAAATAAAATGAGTACAATTCAGTTTCCGCGAACCCTAAAGCCAAGCGCCAAATCGGCTCCCGCGCAGTTAGCCAGGCCATCTACCCTACGAGGCGACAACCTCGTATCAGACTCGTGAAAGGATAAAACACTGGCGAAAGTACGATCGGCTCTCGCAAGTCATTGTGTAGGCCATGCTGTAGCCAATGAGCCACTACGATTATTGATTGGAAGTGTTAATGGCGGGGCGCATTTTTAATAAGAGAGAGATAAGCAGGAAAAGGTTCTTTCTTTCATTCAATTTTATCAATCCACGCAGAACACCTTCTCCTTATCACTGTCTATGTTGCAGATGTGTTTTAAACATAGGTAAGAGGCTCATAAAAGGATGAGGCTTTTGATTCCAGTCACCTCTTTTTGGGATCTGCTTGCACTTCCGAATCGCAGGCGGTCAGTATGCGACACTCCTTACAAAATGATAGCAGTGCCAGCTGATGTGTGTACATGCCAGAATTAAGAGCTAGCGCTCTAGTTTGACAGGACAGTTCCGCTTACAAGGGAGGTCGTTCAGGGCGTGTCGGCCCTTTTCGAAAATGGTTTTCTGCATGTTATAGGGGCTCATGCAAGGACCCGAAAAGTGTGCTTCATTTTCGCTGCGCGCTTCCAGGAAAGGTAAAAAACGATGAAAAGAAATCTTTGGAAACCTGCTTTCATTCTGGGCCTCTATATCGCGGTAGGTCACTTGCAAATTTTGACCATTTGCGTGAGTGGGGGGTCCTTATAAGGGGCTATTCGAATCGAAGCGAAAAATCCCGCGCAATTGAGATTCCAGCTTGGCCACGTGCTCATGGGTGAACGGCTTCTTGCGATGGTTTTCATCAACGATTAGAGCGCCAGGCATCCGAGCACGGATGGCCTAGCTGGATAGAGGGAGGCTTTCGCAATCGGACAGTGAGGGTGGGGTTGATGGTTCGGGCTCCTCTTTGCGTCGTGGCTTTTTGCATTTTTTAGATTCGCTGTTCTGCGCTGGCCATTGTGCTGCGCATCGAATACAACTCGATATTTGTCATTTATGGCACATTCGAGTAGCTGTAACCTCATGAGTCAATGCTATCAACTATTTTCATTTTTCACGCACCCATTGACAAGAGTTGTTGCTGGAACGTTGATCCCATAGGCTATACAGTGGATCTAATGGCGAATTTAGAAATTCTGGTGTGGTGTGATTATAGACAATTGGGGCGCACATCTTCTTTCCAATGAATTTGTTATGTACACTAATCTAGGAACGATCACGCTATTCTGTCGCCAAACTGCGTGACGCCAAGAAATAGGTGTAATATTTGTGATCAGGGCCACTGATTACCACCAAAAACGATTTTCGTCCAAAACAATTGTTTTGACCTTCTTGGCTTAGCTTATTGGGTTGTCCGGGGTCAGTAGCGTCAACGATATGCGCTCGCTGTTACGAAGGTTTGAGACTCCGCTCACACTGCGCGACAAATGGTCGGCCACTACAACCCGAAAAAAGTCAAAAATATTTTTCGCGCTCAAAACTTGCTCCTAGGTGTAATCGACAGTCCTGATCACGATTCTAGACTTTGTTTTCGTTCAGTGCCATCTGGCAACTGGCATAGCGCAGAAGTAGCTGAGTCTTGCATAGAAACGAATTCGAACGAAGAAGCAGTTTTGCTCCATAAAAGTAGGATTGTTCACTTTAACGTGAATGTTTTTGTTAGGACCAGTTTATTTAGGCAACAATGGATCCAAAAAATGAAAAAACTGTAGAAAAGCAAAAATTGTCCTCGGTGGGGATCCGAACCAATCGACCATACTTTTACGATTTTTTTTTATTCGTAGAAGCGCGCAGGAAAATGAACATCAGTTTTGTGCGTCTCGATATGTGCCCCTACAATATGAACGAGACCATGTTAAAAAAGCTCACCACGCCCTGAACGACCTCCTTGTTTAGACGAGAACTGTAAAGTCAAAGTTTTTTATACTGCCAGACGAGTCTAGTAGTAAGCTTAGTGTTCGGACTGAAGGAGGGCTGAGACGGCACGTGAGCAGAGACGATCTAGGATTTAATCTTCGCACGGCGCGCGTGACAACATCAGTTGAATCCTCACTGCCACGCTGGGACAAGAACTTGTGTAAGCGAGGAGAAAGTCCTTACTTTGAAATCGTGCATTTCATCCATGACATCGCTGTAGAAGGAATTAATATCTCCCAATAGTATCCCAACGAAAATAAGACACACACAGCAATAACGATTGCGGAAGCGACGGAAGCTACTGTTACGAAGAATCTTGTGTTCATCGTTGCAGTGCTGCTGTCGCGAATGAACACCGATTTCTTTAAATGGGCTTCTGTTGTGGGCGTGATCTTTCATTTGGAACATCCGATAATGGTTTTTTCGAAGAGATATCAGACGGAATTCGGCTTAAGCGCGAAGCTAGACATGTCCTCATAGCGATAGATGTCCAGATACAAAAGCGGAGCCTTAACGATGAACGGCGATTAATCTCAGCCTTTTTTTCTCGACACTAATTCATCCAGGAATCTGCCTGTTGAGTCAGTCGGGAACGTCACTTTCACTTTGATCTATGCACAGACACAGTGTGCAACTGACTGATCCGCGGCTACGTGTTTTAGGCTGTCGTTCCCTTCTGAGATTTCACCTTGTGCAGGTTTTTCTTTCTTCTTCTTCCTAAGACATGAAAGCGAAATGTTACCACTATTTGCTGCAAAGAGTAGGCTTCACAGTTGCTCTCGACTCGTTACTCATAGAAAATTCAGTGTGATTCGCCATAAAAGTGCGCAAGTCGACTGAGGAGGAGGGAGAAGAACAGCAATATTTTGATCACTGTCAACATGCGGCCTATTTCTGATGGCCTGAAGTACACTCTTTATCCCTGAGCCAGAGTAGGCGTGGCATTCCACCATGGCAAGGAATTGGTTACTCGTGGAGTCTACAGTTGGGACAACTGTCACCTTGTTCTGTGTTGGACAGAGACACCGACTTAAGGTGAAAATATCTCACCAGAAGCACAGACACCTTCAGGTTTAAGTTGAAACATGCGGCACGCCTACCCGATCTCAGGGATTTCGCGTATATCTGTGCTCCGAGCAGGCAGGGTGGACTTTTTCTCTAGCCGCACGCAGGGCTTTCGCTAGTCGTTCATCACTGAAGTGAGATCTGGGTACACTATGAGAAATTTCCGACTGATCTCTGCCCCACAGCGAAAGTTTCCCCGCCGAAGGGTTTGCGATTTGCTGAAATAAGGTGGCATACTAGTGGAGACGCTTCGACACTATATAAGCTCTGCTGCCCCAATCATCCAAAGATCAAGCCCAGTTTTTTACGCGGTTTTTTCTGTGGATAGATTTGGCTTAAAGTCTCCAACTGTAGTTTAAAGGTAGTTGGCACACACAAATCTCCAAGACGTGTAGGACTAATACGTCTAGCAAGGCTGAAGTCGACGCCCTGAGCAAGCGCTGCGCGGCGCCTTTCTTAATGGAGGTACCTTCGCGCCATATCGAGCGCGGATGCCACCCCGCCCGCGCCACAAATGTCCGGTAGTGCTCGTATCGCTTCATTTGCGAAGTACAATATGAATTGAAGGGTTTTATATGAATCAGTTGCGGTGCTGAATATATGAGCACATACATTGCCGCATGTATCTTACCGTAGTTGTTGGTGCGGACGCCCAACGTGGAACTTCCAAATTATCGTGCCAACTGCATTTAATCTCTTGAGCACAGTATCACATCCACTTGGCCGAGAGCCTAGCGCCTCGCCAAATGCGCCAAGCACCACAAATCACCGAATTCGCTGATAACTTGCCTCCAAGGGTAGTTTGCTACCCAAGCAGAAATTTTCATATCCCTTTGATCAAAAAGTGCGTGACGCATGGGTCACAAAGTGACGGCATTTCATGTTTGTTTCGACTCCGGTGCGTAGGAAGACGGATCTTGCCGAGCGGTCTGCTAGGGCTCAGGAAGGCAAAGCCAGAATGCAGCACCTTCGTTGCGTGTGTGATAGATTCTCTCTTTACTAAAGGCTTAGCCTTAGCAAGGAGAGGATTACTACATCAAAGGAAGGGTGCAGAGGAGAGTGAGCTGGCTGCCGCTATCACGCGTTCCCTTTTTCATAAATGAAGGAGCGTTGACACACTAATTAGGTACTCAGCCTAAAATGCTACCAGGGCGCTATCTAGTGAGAAAAGGCTGAAAAACGAAATGAAACGATCACAAATTGCGAAGAAAAGCCCTCGTTCTTCAAAAGCAATTTTGGACGAGTTCCCACAGGTATATTGCAAATAAACGCTACGGTAGGTACGGCTGCATGTATGTATTCATATATCTATCAGCAACGCAGCCGCTTCATACCGATCTCTTATGATTAGCTTCATATTTAGCTTCATATTTTGCTTAGCGGGTGAAGCAGTACGAGCATCAGATACGGTCTTCCATTTGAAGGCGGGCGGGCGTGGTCGGGTTTGGGGATGTTGTAGATTGATAGGATCCTCATAAGGGTTCCTCCCTAGAAAAAATCGCTGTGCAGCGCTTACTCAGGGTCGCGGAATTCCTGCCAGGCGTATCAATCCTGCTCGTCTTCAAGGATTTATTGTGCCAACTGCCTTTAACTTTCTTGAAATGCCGTGCAGATGTAATATTTGTGTTCAGGAGGTTTTCGACGACTTTGCTGATCTAGGGTCAGGCGCTCTCGGGACCTGATATTCGCGTGCAGGATGTTGAACTTTACCTGGAGACAGGCAAACTGTCCACAGAGAAACAAGCCGCTTAAAAAATTGTCTTGATTTCGAAAGATCGGGACAGTAAAGGGTAAATACTGCCCATCCTCGGAATATATCCATGAGGCCCCTGTGGTGAAATGGATAGCGCACTCGCCCGGTTAGCAGGAGATGCGAGTTCATCTCAGAACTCAACATTCTGTTGCAACAAATACTTCCAGAATAGTCACAGAAAGCAAAATGTAACAACAGTTGGGTTATGCAGCCGTTGACCCTAGCAGCTTAGCCTGCCCCTCTGTAGCCTTACAAGATTCTGGGTCCTTACAAAATGCCCCCCCCCCTCTTTCCCCCTCCTTCCAGCTTAGTAGCACCCTAGGAAAATTGTTTAATGAGCAACACATTCAAAAAGAACTAATGTCATGTTGCGTGCATCATCGTAATTCAAAAACTGTTTTTTGGCTTCTTGGACTTGGACTTTCCAACCCTGCGTCTCCTCTTCGTGGTCCACAAAAAACAAAGCAGTAAAGAACATTTATTAATTTAAAATACATTAAACACTTCTGTAGGACGCCTCTGTTGATCCGATCTCACATAGCATCATTTCAATCATAAGTAAATCTGGAATTGAGCCATGCTGTTGATGTTAGCTGTGCGATGTGGACACGGGCAGTAGGCGGCATCACTTCCCAATAGGCCCGACCATCCTGCCTGTCCCGGAGTTCCGGGCGCTCCGGGGTGCCCATCCGATCCTGGAGCTCCAGGCATTCCTTGGAGACCACTCAGTCCTTCTTCACCCGGTGGTCCTTTTGGTCCGGGTTGCCCTGCCGGTCCAGGGGGCCCGGCAGGTCCTTGTGGTCCTGGTGCACCATATCCTAGTTCTCCATCCTCCCCAGGATCTCCAGGAGGGCCAGTCAATCCTGGTTCTCCTCGTTCTCCAACATCTCCGTCAGGTCCTGGTGCTCCAGGTTGTCCATCATTTCCTGGTGCTCCTGGTCTTCCTGGTTGCCCTTTTGGTCCAACGGGTCCTTGAGGTCCCTGAAGGCCGGCAGGGCCTGGTCCTCCACTTGGACATTTGATGCATACAGCTGATATGTTGGGATAGAACATGGCGACCCCTGAGGCTCCTGGGCTTCCTGGTTCGCCATTGGTTCCGTCTTCACCTGCTTCTCCAGGTGCACCCGGAGGCCCTGCATTTCCTATCGGACAGTCGTTGGGCACATCATCGCAATTGCATTGTGAATGTGAACGTTTCTCGCGACCAATGGTTGTTCGAGCATCATTCCGTCCCAGAATGGCTAAGATCGCCATCTCTTTCCAAACTTCATTGGCAATTATCTGAAACTTAAAGTATTACACTTTATGAAATGTTGAGATAACGATCTTCTTTATTGTTCATCTTGAAGACAATGCCCGCAATCAGGTATTCTGGATAGAGAGTGGTCAAGAGTGGACCAGTAGCCTATAAGCGACTACCCAGTGAAGAAAAGCATAGAGAATTTTAAGATTACCTCCAACAAAACTCCTCCCTGCAGTCACACAACCTACTGTACTAGTTCTCAGGTGTTGTTGGCAAATCAAGCTCTGCGGCTAGGTCGCGTCCGTACGACTCCCCTCCCCCCTCTAATTCCCTCCACCTCTTATCCTCTTATCGAGCGGGGCTATATAGCACATGTAAAAGAGGAACTGCGAAATCTCCGTAACCGGAAAACAGTTTCTCCAACGTCGCAAAGGCAAATACGACCCCTTCCTTTTATAGCGTCGGTAAAACAACAAAAGTAGACTGTCAAAAAATTTTCTCAGACCAGTTACAACCCCTCTCCCCAGCGACCAAATATGACCCCCCCCCCGTTGGGGAATCTACAACGATAGTGTGTTCTGTCTGCGGTCTCTTGCCACCCCTGGCTCACAAACCGCTTTTCGCCCTTCCGGCATGGGAGCGCTGGTGCAGACGATACCCTCTGCCATAACATTGACGTCCTTCCTGACAACAGAGGTACAACAAAGGTGTTAGCTTCCTCGACTACGGCGGAGTGCCCCTATAGCAACTCATAATATGAGATAGGTCGATATTTTGAACTTTGAGGGACTTCTAGGCTTTGAAAGCTTCCACAAAGTCTGATGTCCACATCTGCAAAAACCAGAGGATAATGTCCACCAATCAGAGGTGAAAACATTCGAAATACTATTTGGTCTTTTTCTAGAACAATTTAATCAAAGTGTCGCAAGATTTTCCTTTCAACCTAATGGGTGTGGCACATGCTTTAGAGGAGTTGGTGAGCTCTTCTGGGAATCTATCCCTATCCTACTACATATATACTAGATTGTCCGGAAAGTTTTGCACGTTTTGTGTTACTATTTTTTGAACATTCATTGCTGATTAAAAACTCATTCTCCCTTGCGTCTCAGTAGTACATCCTGAAGAAAATTCTTCTGTCTGATGATATAACTGCCGTTTCACCATTGCTTGATGAACCCCCTTTTTTTAAGGTTTTTTCAAACATGTGAAAAGAGCACTTCGGACGATTTTTTTCTTCGACTATAGATTGGGGCAATCCGCAGTCGAGACAGCTCGAAAAATTAACCAGGTGTGGGGCCCACTAGTGTTGGAGAAAGCACCGTGCGACAATGGTTCGACAAATTTCGTTCTGGAGATTTCAGCCTTGAAGATGAACCTCGTAGCGGTCGACCTAGAGCAATACCTGACGAAGATTTGGAGGCGATTGTGGAGGGTGACCCATCCCAAACAGTTCGAGAGATTGCAGAAAAGCTAGGCGTTGGCAAATCCACTGTTGCGGATGGTCTGAAAATTATTGGGAAGGTGAAAAAACTCGACAAATGGGTGCCCCACAATTTGAGTGACCGGCAGAAATTGGCACGTCTCGAGGTTCCTTCTTCACTGCTTTTGCACAATAGAAACGACCCGCTTTTGGACCGAATTGTCACCTGTGATGAAAAGGAGATCATGTATGATAACAGGAGACGTTTCGGACAGTGGTTGGATGCTGGCGGACCCTGAGGCAATTTTCAAGGCCGAATCCTCACGACAAAAAGGTTATGGTCGCCAGTGTGGTAGTCACCGGTGTGATCCACTATAACTTTTTGTTACCAGGCCAAAGCATCACAGCAGACTCCTACTGTCAAGAAATCGACGAAATTTACTGGAAATTGCGTCAGCAGCAGCCAGCACTTGTCAACAGGGAGGGTCCGATTCTTCTGCATGACGTATTTTTTGCACATTCATTGCTGATCAAAAACTCATTCTCCCTTGCGTCCCAGTAGTACATCCTGAAGAGAATTCTTTGCGCTATCTGATGGTATAATGCCGTTTCACCATTGCTTGATGAACCCCCTTTTTTTTAAGATTTTTTCAAGCATGTGAAAAGAGCACTTCGGACGATTTTTTTCTTCGACTATAAATTGGGGCAATCCGCAGTCGAGACAGCTACGAAAAATTAACCAGGTGTGGGGCCCACTAGTGTTGGAGAAAGCACTGTGCGACAGTGATTCGACAAATTTCGTTCTGGAGATTTCAGCCTTGAAGATGAACCTCGTAGCGGTCGACCTGGAGCAATACCTGACGAAGATTTGGAGGCAATTGTGGAGGGTGACCCATCCCAAACAGTTCGAGAGATTGCAGAAAAGCTAGGCGTTGGCAAATCCACTGTTGCGGATGGTCTGAAAATTATTGGGAAGGTGAAAAAACTCGACAAATGGGTGCCCCACAATTTGAGTGACCGGCAGAAATTGGCACGTCTCGAGGTTCCTTCTTCACTGCTTTTGCACAATAGAAACGACCCGCTTTTGGACCGAATTGTCACCTGTGATGAAAAGGAGATCATGTATGATAACAGGAGACGTTTCGGACAGTGGTTGGATGCTGGCGGACCCTGAGGCAATTTTCAAGGCCGAATCCTCACGACAAAAAGGTTATGGTCGCCAGAGTGGTAGTCACCGGTGTGATCCACTATAACTTTTTGTTACCAGGCCAAAGCATCACAGCAGACTCCTACTGTCAAGAAATCGACGAAATTTACCGGAAACTGCGTCAGCAGCAGCCAGCACTTGTCAACAGAGAGGTCCGATTCTTCTGCATGACTACGCGCGCCCACACGTTTCACAAACCACTATCCATAATTTTAACAAAATGCGGGTTGAAGTTCTATCTCACCCGCCATATTCTCCAGACCTTTCATCAACTGAATATCATCTTTTCAAACATTTTCAGAACTTCCTTGCCGAAAAATACTTCATCATTTAGGACCAGGCAAAAAAGCTTTCGCGGATTTCGTAAATTCTCGAGCACCCAGTTTTTTCCTTTGATGGGATTTCTCGACTAGTGTCACATTGGCAAAAGTGTTCGGCTGATTCGAAAGGTGCTTGTTTCGATTGAATCCGATGAGTATTAAGAAAGTTATGATCGTTTAAAGTGAAACACTCAAAACGCAGAGAACTTTCCGGATAACCTAATATTTTGCCAACTTACTCTGAACTCGTGCGCATCATCCATGACGTCACCGTAGAGTTTCTTGATATCCAAGAATATGACGCTAATACAAATCAAGCTGGCGAAGATCATTAGAGCCGAAGCGCCGGATGCCATCGTGACAAAAAACTTCGCGGTCATTTCTGAGAAATGCCGTCGCTGTGACTCCTCTTGCTTTATATATGCGAACTTGGGCGTGGTCATAGTGGTAGTGGCTGCAGACGCCAAACCCATGAGGATTTTATTATGTTTCATGAGTTCCGTGGTTTCAAGTTTTCGTCGTTTATGTTCTGGGACATTGAAAACAAGCGGCAAAATGTCATCGAGGGTGACCCTTCCACGCTAAGTCATCGAAACTTTCACAGCAGTTGTGATTTCTAGCGTGACGTCTCCTGGGTTGTTTTTATACCAAAAATTATTCCTACAATCCGATCCTGCCATTTGTATGAGGTATACACCAGTGTACGCATCTCGAGACACTGAGCTCAAATCTCTTGTTGTAGTTAGGTGGACTCAGGGAGATTCTTCCTCGTATTGTACAATTCATCACTGAATGAGAACGTCCTTATAAACAGGATGGGCCAGTTGTGGGCCACTCCAGCATAGTGCAGCCGATAGTGGTGTGTTTCACTTGCGAAGCGTCGTGAGTTCGGTTCCTTTTGCGAGCTGAATCTTGCTTTCTTAGGGAAGTGGTTGAAAAGGCAACATCACAAGTGCATCAGTGGTCGCGTCCGTTAGCCCATAGGAGACCCTCGAGCGGGTTGCGGCGTAAAGGGATGTATGGACAGGGTATAGCATCGTTGGGTGAAACACATAGGGGAGGTCGTACTTTTTGGCTGGGGAGGGGGTCCTATTTGGTCGTTGTTAGGAGAGGGGGGGGGTCTATGCGGCTTCGACAGATATTCGCCTCGTTGTTCGATTGTTGACATTTGATTTTTCCTGTTTCATTTGTACCATTTACCCCCTCCCTCCCTCCCGACCTCGCCCCCCTTCCCCCCGCTCGAAAACAAATTTTTGGGTTGGAGGTGGGAATCCGGGAAATTCCAGAAGATGAGGTAGGAAGTTGGGAATAATTTAGGAAATTTTCCCGTTTCACATTGACTGTGTACTCCCTCCTCCACTCGGAAAATTTTTGGGTGAAAAAACTGGAAATATGTGAAAATTGGTCGGGTCGAGCTTGGGGAAGGGTCATACCGCTGACCTCATTTGGTGAGGGTCGTAAACCTTGCTTCGACCAGGGCCGGTAGGTCGCACTGGCCCCAGCTATTTCACAGCATCACATGCGCTGTAGCACTGTGTATGGTATATTAGCGACGTCGGTTGCACCGTGCGCCACACATTTTCGTGGCCAGACTAAAAGTGCTTCGATATTCCTGTTCAACGGGCCTGAAACTTACCTTCGGAAACGAATTTTTTTTCGCCTAGTGTTTCGACCACTAATTTTCTAATGGCTGGCTTCAGCGCCGTGTGTTCCAGGGCAGGGCAACATCATTTTTTGGGAACTTTTGGTCGATTCCGCGTACGCTCCCGCTTTTGGCGACTCGCGAAACAAAAAAAATTATCTATCAAAAAAAATCTTTTTTCCTAGTCATAGCGACCGTCCCTGTCTACTGCGCAAATCCCCAGTGACAAATAAGCCCTGGTTCTAGGGCCGCCCGGCTGCATCCAGGACATCAACGAATGATTACTTGTTGAGCCCATGCTTTTGAAGAAATACATCCGTTCTACATGTTTCATTCACCTCCAGGATGTTACTTCATTCTTTTCGAATACCTAGACAAGATCGCCGATTTCACTTTCCATTTTAGTCACAGAATCAATCTGC